CATACACGACTAAATATATAATGTGGATATCATTATTAATGATAATTTATCAGTTATAGAAAAAGACATTTGGTGATTCTTTTCAACTCAGTAGATATGATGTATATTTAGTTGGAAAAACTCTATCGTCATTAGTCATACAAGAAAAGTAAGACATGCATAGTCAAAATTATGATTATAACTTAATTAGTAATTCTATTACTTTACAATATTAAGCCTCCCATGGTTATTTATCATTAAATAATATAAATTTCTGATTTTATCAATAGCCTTAAACAATTTGGGAGTGTTTCCTATCCACTTGCTAATGCTTCCCAAAAAAATTCAGCACCACGCTGTTGAGACATATTCTTGGGTTTGACAAATGTAACAAGCATTACATATTTTGCATTAACCTATACGTGTATAGAATTATTAAAATTTAAAACAAAATTTTAAATTTTAAATATGTAATTGCCGAAACAGACTGAATAACTTTAATTAAAAATTTTGTTGGGACATTAGTTGATTTGAAGATTGGAATGATTAATTGATTACTACTTTATATTATTTTACACCATTGATTATTTAACAATTGTGACACAATGTAAATTGACAGTATGAAGCAACAGCAGTGGTGTCTAACATCATGAAAAAGTGCAACTTTCATATACCTAAGAACTTCAATATATGTCTGATGGCATTTATTGGGTAAGGCACTATGTGGGACTCTTAAAATCATATATGTATGCTTAGCTAGGCTTGGGGACTTTTTGTCTATTGCAAACTTTTTATTTTAAAAAGTTGGAAATGAGGCTCCAAAATTCATTGGATTTGGACCAAGTCACATGTGGTTGTGTCCAAATATTTGATATTATTTTAACCATATCTTTGATTTGGATGAAGCTGGAATATGAGAGGATTGTGTGTTGGGATTCTTAAGGTTTGCTTTAACCTAAATAGATTTGGTCCCACTGAAGTTCACATGTTTATGTACTTACATGTTGCTAAGTTTTACAATATTCTGAAAATTTTGAATTAAAAAAGAAAAAAACATAAAAAATAAAAAAAGAATTAACAGAGTTAGCATGAAATTTTCGTACCTCAGTCGGAGATAGGATTTCAAATTTCTCCACTTCTCTGTATATTTATTTGTTAGTTCCTCAGTCAAATGGCCAAAATAAATTTTCATTAAACTACGGTTTCAAAATTTGTCAAGTTTCTGTGATCAATTTGGCCAATTTTCCAGAAACAGATATCAGACTTCTAAGTAACACCAGTGGAGAAACCACAGAGCTTATATACAATACACAACAAATGAGAGCCTATTCTTACATTTTCATTTTGTTCTTTATGTTCAAAAAGCATAAACTCCTAATAATGTATTCTAATTTGCTGAGTTCTTCATTGCCTAAACTTACCAACGAAATTAATCCATAATGTAATCCATGGAAGCAGCCGATGAAAGAGGCTGATTGGAAGCATAAAACAGTGATCAATTCTGAGGCTAAACAACAAGAAATTGGGGCAAAATAGGCTCATTGAAATCACAACATGTGTATCTTTCCACTTGCATATCAAGTGTTTGATATGCAACAACAACAGATTTTTGTATACACAGGAGTTGTAAACCATAGAAAAAAATTCACCGAGGAGTCACAAATCATAGAACGATGTGCTCAAAGTGTTATATATGAATTTCTGTATATGATATCTCCCCCTATATTACATATATATATATATATATATACTACACTTCAGTTAATGGGAAATTTTTTTGTTAATTCTTAGATTTTTTTTTTTTGTCAATGATCTAATCTACAGGTGCTCTAAGTACAGAAGATGTTGGTGTTGCAGATCTAATCTGTAGGTCCTCCAGAAGATGAAGAACTCGTTCAGTTTCAATTTTGGGTCCGCAATACACTTGCGAGAAGATAGTAATGGAAGATGGTTATCGGCGTACCTGATGGTGCAGATCCGGCGAAGGCGAGGACGTGGACGACGAATCCGGCGGTTGCTTCGGCGGGGGACGGCGAGGTCGTCGGTTGTTCGATGAACTTACTGTTTGTACCGCTTGAAAGAGGAGTATGCAAGATGAGAAACAGGTCAAAGAGGCAACTGTGAATACGTTTTGCCCTAGCTACCAATTTATGAGATGTGAGGGTAGTTTCGTAAATGGAAGAGCTGCGTTTCCAGCTCTTCCCAAATGGTGGTTCTGCGTTTTTGAACACTCGGGCGTTTTTTTTTTTGACCAAGAACGCAGCGTTTTTCCAATCTTCCCAAAACGGCACTTATCCGTAGTTCATTTTTTTTTTCAAATAATTTTTTCTTCAAATAATTTTTTTTTTCAAATAATTTTTTTCGAATAATTTTTTTTGAATTATTTTTTTTCAAATAATTTTTTTTAATTAATTTTTTCAATTAATTTTTTTTCAATTAATCTTTTTTTTCAATTAATTTTTTTCCTCAATTAAATTTTTTTTCAATTATTTTTTTTTCATTTTTTTCAAATAATTTTTTTTCAATTATTTTTTTAATTAATTTTTTTTCAATTATAATGTGTGTGATCCCATTGCCATAAATAATAAAAATAAATATAAATATTTTAGGCCTGTACAAACATATTTTTTAGTTTATGTTTTTAAATTTTTTTAAACATTATGTTCAAACCAAATGCGTTTGTAATTTATGTTTTTCTAAAAATAAACAAAAACCAGTTAAATAAATTTTTGTAAACATAAACAAAAAAATTTAAACGTTACCAAACGCTACCTTAGGAATTGTTTGGTTTTGTTTCTAGAGATAAATTTTGAAAATTAATTATGGAGAAAGAGTTTAGAAATTTAGTTGGTTTGTTTGGTTGTATATTTTCGAACTAATTTTGGAGTACAGGAGTCCAGAAAATAATTTTATTGTAGTTGAATAGATGTGTGTGAACGAAGAAGTGACTGAGAAGGAAAGAGGAGTCAGAAAAAGTGATTGAATGATGTATCGGAGATAGAAAGTGATTTATTTTTTTCTTTGCGCAAATTCAGTGAACCAAATAAAATTTTCAATTAATTTTTATATGTAAAAATTAAAATAAATGTTGACAAACAAATGTTTTTTATTTTCTGGAGAAAGAGATACAATTTTCGATGAACTTAAATTTTAATATGGCAGATTGCAACGGTGTTTTGATTAATTTTCTGCAAAAAAATTTTAGTGCATTGCAACGGTGTTTTGATTAATGAGAAATTAATTTTGAACAATTGTTTTGCACCCTTTGTTTTGACAGATTGCAACGGTGGCCACGTGTCAATGCAGTTTTCAATTTGTAATGTGGTATAAATGGTGGCCACGTGGATATTGACTCTATATTTGCAATTAAATAGCAACAGGGGCAATTTGGTCAATTTACATTCCATTATCATTTCAAACACATTTTTCAATACAATAATCCTAATGTTTGGTTTGAGTTTTCTGGATTAAGTTTTTTGAAAATTAAGTTTTTTGATTTTCGTGTTTTTTTTTTGTTTTTAGTGAATATTTTTAAAATTTAAATTTTTTTTTTAGTTTCTTAGATGCATCTTACTTAGATGTATCTAAAAAGTAAAAAAATTGTGAAAAAATATTTTAAAAAATTAATAAATACATAAAAATATAAAAAATTACTGAATTCTTGTATTTTTTTTTTGTATTTTTGGTATTTAGTAAATTTTTAAAAGATTTTTTTTTACAATTTTTTTACTTTTTAGGTATATTTATGTTAGGTGTGTCTAAAAAGTAAAAAAATTGTTTAAAATATTAAAAAAATTCAGTAAAAATAAAAAAAATACGAAAAATAAGAAAGTAGAATTTTCTGAAAAATATTTTTTGAAATTTGAAAACAAGCAAATAGAATAAAATCCATCTCATCTTCTCAAACACACAAACTAAACTACCCTACTAAAATACTCAAACTACAAAAAATCTTAAAAAAAATTCACTTCCCAAACACCCACAGAGTGTATTGAGAATAAGTTATAACTCTAAATATCTTATAGTATTGAGTACCCTAAATATATTAGTTAACAAAACTTAAACAAATTCTACATTATAAATGCTATTGAGTACCCTAAATATATTAGTTAACAAAGCTTAAACAAATTATACATTATAAATGCATTTAGTAATTGTTGTTATTATTTTTTAATTTGGGCTTGAAAATACCTAAGACTATGAACCAAACATGTTCGGGCCGTTGATACCCAATTTCTGTTGGGCTCAACCAGTAAACATGTGGTGTCCAACCCCAAAACCTGGGTCGTAGATTCATAGCCCAACCCAACAGCTCTGGTTGGTTTGAAAAGTGGGTTGGTTTTTTGATTTTTTTAGTTTTTTTTTATTATTTTAGTCTGGGCTAAAAGGTTTGATTTGGGAAAGGCTTTTTGAATTTTTGAATTTTTTGATTTTTTTGTCAGAGAATAATGTAATGATTATAGGTTGAATGTGATGTTTTGTTTATTGTGGCTAGGGGTGAAAGAATAACCGGAAGAACCGACCAAACTGACCGAACCGAACGGTTTTCGGTCGGTGTTCTAAGTTTTCAATCGTTCGGTTCGGTTTATGTTTTTCTGTACATTCGGTTCGGTTTACGATTTTTAATTTTTTGAATTGAACCGCACCGAACCGCACCGACTTATATAATATTAATAGGCCCAAAATGTGAGGCCCCAAACCTATGTAGCAATTACATGGCCTGAGCCCAAATTTTATACAAAATGGATAGAAATATAGGCCCATAATGTGAGGTCCAACCAGGAAAAAAAAAGGCCAAAAAATCGAAAAATCGAAAAAATCGCACCGTACCGTAATAAACTGAACCGCGCCGGTTTATGTCATTTTTCTGGGCAGTTCGGTTCACAAATATGAAAAACCGAAATTATCGGTACGATGCAAAACTAGTGAAAAAACTGACTGAACCGAACTGATTTCACCCTTAATTATGACTAAAACAGCTTACTTTATTTTTTTATGACAAAAAAAAAAAAGAAAAAAAAAGCCACATCCTATCTTCCCAAACGGAGGTACACACATATCCAACAAAACGCACGCTAGCCCTAGAATTCTCTTCTCTGCTCTCTCTCTCACTGTATCGCACGAAGCCTCCAGTCGAAGAAACAACACAACCATGGGTGAGCTCAAAATCACCGTTTCCAATCTAGGGTTTCGAATTTGTAGCTTAAAATCTATATATCTCAATCTGGATTTGATGATTTTGCAGGTAAGGTTCACGGATCGCTAGCTCGTGCCGGTAAGGTGAGAGGCCAAACTCCAAAAGTAGCCAAGCAGGACAAGAAGAAGAAGCCCCGCGGCCGTGCTCACAAGCGTATGCAGTACAATCGCCGCTTCGTCACCGCCGGTAGTTTCCCTTATTCTCTTTCTCTCTCTCTACAAGTATTATAGATATATCATGTTATGAACTGCTTCAATTTTTATCGTTATGTTCGGTGATTTTAGATCTGCTAGTAGATCTGAAGTTCTCCGAAATAAGCAGTGTTTGGGTGCTGAGAAAGACAGGGAAAAATTCTCTTAATTGTGTCTGTAAATTTGTTGAGAACAAAATCAAATGATGCCATTGGCTGAGTCAGGGTTGAGAAAGTGTAGCAAAAAAAATAAGAATTTTTGACAAAGGGTAAATTTTAATATAAGCTTGAAGAAAGAACAATAATAATAAGGAAAATAATAAATTTATATCAGTTGTTTCTTAGTACTAATTCCAATTATTTGACAAATTTTGAGTTATACAATTAGGATATTAGCCATTTGAAGCCATTTTGTTAATTGATACAAATAAAAATTTGATCTTTATGAATTATCTAGAAAATAATTAAATCCATAGGATTGATACTATTATATAATAAACAAATGTTTTGGGTTCGTCATTCCATATACAATATAAATTTTTTCATAAAATATGGGTTGCGTAGATAATTTTGAAATTTTAGGGGCAGCTAGTTCCTACTGCTAACTTTGTCCTTGGGTTAAGTGGAACTTTGTAATCTAAAACCCAAAATGTTGAAAATTTGAGATTGAATTTTATTATATATATATATATATATTCCCTATTCAACTCTTTTTTTTCTCAGCAACAATCAATGTTATAATTTGCTAGCCTTTAGTTTCAGCTTGGATGCTTGACTGATGACTTATGTACTTGCTGTTTGCAGTTGTTGGCTTTGGAAAGAAGAGGGGACCCAACTCTTCTGAGAAGTAAGCTTATTGTAATGAGAATTAAGCTCAAGACATGTGTACTTAATGAACAGGTTAGCAATATGTGATAGTGTTCTTAATTCCTAGCTTTTGCTATTGTTGCAATTTTCTATTTTTACTAAACTATGTTGAATTTATTATTACAACAGTTTCGGGTCAATGATTGAAACTATCAGGCAATTTGGTCCGGATTTAAAATTAAAACCACTAAGATATAATATGATGTGAGTTCCTTATCTAAAAATGATTGAAGCTATTAGGCATTTTGATCCCGATTTAAAATTAAAATCACAAAGGTATTATATGATGTGAGTTCCTTATTTAAAAAAAGAAATGAATCACGTTAATAAATTATTAAAGAAAGATAAAATAGTATAGGGCAAAGTAAGATTGAATGTTATTTTTAAATTTTTTTTGAAACATTGAATGCCATCTTTCATATTTTTGGAATATTGAATGTCGTTCTATTTTTTATTTATTTATAATTTTAAGAATATTTGTTTTATGTTAAAAACTTTATCTATATTAATATTTTGGTTATCTTCAACAACTTGTGCCTCGCTTCAGTGAGGCACGCACCGCGCCTTGTGCCTCATGCTTAAGCTCCAAGAGATCTTAGCGTCTTAATGCGTCTAGAGTTTTTTAAAACACTGGTTATGACATCTAATTGCTTGAGAAAAAAGTATGGCTTGAGAGCTTGTATTGATGGTGATTATGTACTTGGTGTTGCAGTCCATTGGACATGCTCTAGATTGTCATTTAATGGGAGCCATTGTGTGAATGATTACTCTCTTTGTTTCCATTTCTTGTTCATGTTTGTGGATTATGAATTAGAAAATGCAATATTGACCTGTCTATCCATAAGAATCTCAAACAACATAACACTAACAGGAAGTGCAAATAGCAAAATGATTTTGTTTTGCAGAGTGAAGCCTCAGCATATTTGTGGCAAGGCATATCTGTTTTGTATTGTTTTATATATATTCAGATTCCAAAGTTTTTAGTTTTTGGTGTCAATTTTTTACATTGTCAATTTTTTACACCATCAATTTTTGCCTAGCTTGAAGTAGTGAAACATAGAACCTTTGTGTTTTAACAATGTAGGAAGAAAACAACACCTTAGTTAATAAAACAGAATGCTTTATCCCCATTTCAATTATGAAGGGAAAGCATGGGGGTCAATACAAGTGGCTACTCTCTCTCTCTCTCTCTACATCGAAGGTTGTAATCTGGGTTCTTTGCTAGTGAGCTATAAGGATTCCGTTTTGCTGGATAAAACGGATATGAGGGGGCAAAAAACATGTATGAACCCTCTTTGGGCACGACCATAAAGTCTTTATTGGAGAACTGGACAAGAAGAGTCTAGATGGACCCAACAATACATGGGAGCTACAGGCACTCTTTCAAGACGGGCTTGACCTATAGCCTAAACTCAACCCTGTCTAGAGCATAAGTGCAATCTCTCTTTCTCCTCCTCCCTCTTCATCTCCCTCAAGAATTTGTATTATTATTGTTATTATTTATTATTTTTGTTATATGGGAAGCTATAGCTTTTTAGTTTGGTGAGCGAGAACTTGAACCCTTAACCTCTTAGTGAAGTGCAAATATTCTAGCAAATTTAAATAACCAATACATGGGAGCTACAGGCACTCTTTCAAGACGGGCTTGACCTATAGCCTAAACTCAACCCTGTCTAGAGCATAAGTGCAATCTCTCTTTCTCCTCCTCCCTCTTCATCTCCCTCAAGAATTTGTATTATTATTGTTATTATTTATTATTTTTGTTACATGGGAAGCTATAGCTTTTTAGTTTGGTGAGCGAGAACTTGAACCCTTAACCTCTTAGTGAAGTGCAAATATTTTAGCAAATTTAAATAACCCAATTGATTGAATTTGTAGTTTTCTACATTATTGTGAAAATTCTTTATTCCCTTTCCCAGAGCAGGAAGTTACAGAGCAAGCCAATTAAGAAAGTCCTGCTATCATGGCCATATTCTCTCTCTCTTGGTAGGTTATGTATATCCTATTGAAAAGCTTTGACCCCTACCCATTTTGGCAAGGAAGCTTGTATACATAGAAACATACACCATTTTGGCAAGGAAGCTTGTATACATAGAAACATACATATTTATAGCCTTAAAGGATCAAAATTAAAGAAGAAAAAATTAATTCCAAACTTTACTTAAACCACCAAAACCTACACACATCATTGCATATTAGAGAGTAACTTTTTTTTGAACCTTCACACCCCTCCTCTCTTTTCTCTCCCCTCCATGAAGCCCTCTAATTCAAACTCATCACACAAACCCACAAATGGCTCTGTTTCATCTATGTTTCAACCTCAACTTGTGGACCTAGCAAGGTGTAATCACCAGAGGTTCTGGACATCGGTGATGCGGAAGCTCAAGAGGTACTTGACATGTTGCAAGCTGACAGAGCTAGGAACCAAAGAAAAAGATAAGGGAAAGATGAGAATGGATTCATGTTACTTGTCGGAGAAGAAAACTAGCCGCGATGATGGTGGGAAGTTGCTGAAGAAGTACTGTAACTATTATAGCAAAATGAATGAAGAGTAGAGGAATGAGAAGCTGATATCTGCCATTAGGTACTGCAAGGATTCAAAATGCCGAGTTAGTAAACATCAGTCGTGATTTCACAATGTAATAGAAATTTCAAAATACGAAAATCTTGAAGCACTATTGTGGGGCTGGAAGGGTATTGGGGACACGGGTTTTGAGAGACAGAAGATCCCGTGTCCGAATGAAAAAATTATGGGGAGATCCAAATCAGAAACAGAGAGGACTGTGAATTTGAATCTAGATGGGTATGGCTTACATGAGTTGAAGAAGGCTAGAATTGAATCTTAAAGAGTTTGATTCGTTTTCTGATTCTTTTTGTTTGTGAGGGATTTAAATTATTTATGTTTCTAGAGAAGAAAATTAACAAAGATGGTTGTACATCATTTCCAATTGGTTTCATTTGAGTGTAGTTTAGTTGGTCAAATTTTTAAACATTCTGTCTCTCGAAACCCGTGTCCCCAATACCCTTCCAGCTGCATGATGGTGCTTCAAGATCTTCATATTTTGAAATTTCTACTGCATCATGTAATCGCGATTGATGTTCACTAACTCGGCATTTTGAATCCTTGCAGTACCTAATGGCAGATATCAGCTTCTCATCCTTCTTCTCTTCATTCATTTCACTATAATAGTTACAGTTCTTTTTCGGCAACTTTCCACCATCACTGCGGCTAGTTTTCTTCTCCGACAAGTAACACTAATCCATTCACATCTTCCCCTTGTCTTTTTCTTTGGTTCTTGGCTCTGTCAGCTTGCAACATGTTATGTATCTCTTGAACTTCTGTGTCACTGATGTCCAGAACCTCTGGTGATTACACCTTGCTAGGTTCACAAGTTGAGGTTGAGCCATAGGTGAAACAGAGCCATTTGTGGGTTTGTGTGTTTTTTTTTTTTTTTTTTTTTTTTTTTTTTTGGGGGGGGGGGGGGGGGGTGGTGGGGGTTCAAAAAAAAGTTGCTCTCTAATATGCAATAATGTGTGTACGTTTTGGTGGTTTAAGTAAAGTTTGGAATTAATTTTTTCTTCTTTAATTTTAATCCTTCAAGGCTATAAATATGTATGTTTTTATGTATGCAAGCTTCCTTACCAAAATGGTGTATGTTTCTATGTATACAAGTTTCCTTGTCAAAATGGGTTGAGGTCAAAGCTTTTCAATAGGATATACATAATTTATCATGAGAGAGAGAGAGAGAATGGCCATGATAGCAGGACTTTCTTAATTGGCTTGCTCTGTAACTTCTTGTTTTGGGAAAGGGAATAAAGAGTTTTCACAATATTGTAGAAAACTACAAATTCAATCAATTGGGTTATTTAAATTGGCTAGAATATTTGCACTTCACTAAGAGGTCAAGGGTTTAAGTTCTCGCTCACCAAACTAAAAAGCTATAGCTTTCCATGTAACAAAAATAATAAATAATAACAATAATAATACAAATTCTTGAGGGAGATGAAGAGGGAGGAGGAGAAAGAGAGATTGCACTTATAGTCTAGACAGAGTTGAGTTTAGGCTATAGGTCAAGCCCGTCTTGAAAGAGTGCCTGTAGCTCCCATGTATTGTTGGGTCCATCTAGACTCTTCTTGTCCAGTTCTCCAATAAGGACTTTTATGGCCGTGCCCAAAGAGGGGCTTCCTTGTCAAAATGGGTTGAGGTCAAAGCTTCTCAATAGGATATACATAATTTATCATGAGAGAGAGAGAGAGAATGGCCATGATAGCAGGACTTTCTTAATTGGCTTGCTCTGTAACTTCTTGTTTTGGGAAAGGGAATAAAGAGTTTTCATAATATTGTAGAAAACTACAAATTCAATCAATTGGGTTATTTAAATTGGCTAGAATATTTGCATTTCACTAAGAGGTCAAGGGTTTAAGTTCTCGCTCACCAAACTAAAAAGCTATAGCTTCCCATGTAACAAAAATAATAAATAATACAAATTCTTGAGGGAGATGAAGAGGGAGGAGGAGAAAGAGAGATTGCACTTATAGTCTAGACAGAGTTGAGTTTAGGCTATAGGTCAAGCCCGTCTTGAAAGAGTGCCTGTAGCTCCCGTGTATTGTTGGGTCCGTTTAGACTCTTCTTGTCCAGTTCTCCAATAAGGACTTTTATGGCCGTGCCCAAAGAGGGTTCATATATGTTGGTTGTCCTCTCATATCCGTTTTATTCAGCAAAAAAGAATCCTTATAGCTCACTAGCAATGAACCCAGATTACAACCTCCAATGTAATGAGAGAGAGTAGCCACTTGTATTGATTCCCATGCTTTGCCTTCATAATTGAAATGGGGATGAAGCATTATGTTTTATTAAACTAAGGTGTTTCTATTTTATTAAACTAAGGTGTTGTTTTCTTCCTACCTTGTTAAAACACAAAGGTTCTATGTTTCACTACTTCAAGCTGGGAAAAATTGATGGTGTAAAAAATTGACTCAAAAAATTAAAAACTTTTGAATCTGAATATATATCTATATAATAAGGGAAGGGGTTTTTTGAAATTTGCTGGGGCTTTTGTCTAGGTGGATAGTTAAGATTGTTTGGTTTTAAGAATGGAGGGCTGTGATTATTTGGTTAAACTTGATGGGACTTTTGTCTATGTGGATGGCTAAGATTGTTTGGTTTTAAGAATGGAAGGCCGAGATTATTAGATTACTTGATAGAGGACTTTTGTCTTGTCTCTCTCTCTCTCTCTCTCTCTCAATTCCAGAGGTTTCAAATTTTGAACCACATTTTCAACCGAGTAGCCACCGCCTCAGCCATTGGGAGCCCCCTTCGTCTCACCACCAGTGCAGCCCCTCTTTAATCGCCATTGTTGGTGTGTGGAAGAGCGATTTTGGGGGAAAATTTCTTTATATTGATCTTATTTTGGTCTCATGTTAATTTTATTTTATTTTTCTTTTTTTTGATTTAGCTGCATTATGTTGATGGGTATGGCGTTATTTTGGCACAATCAAGTGGATTGGCCCCTCTTCTCTCTCCTCTTATTCTATAACGGGTTAAGCGATTCACATCTTAGCAATTCATGTGACAATGAATGATTCACATCTTAGGTTTTGTTTTGTTTTGTTTTGTTTTGCTTTTTTTTTTTTTTTTCTTTTTGTTTTTTTCCATCCCCCAAACTTCTATTTACCGTCCTTTTTTGTGAACATGATTGTATTATGGTTTAAAAAAAATAAAAATAAATAAAGAGCTGAAATTGTTTGATCAAACAAGTGCAAAAGTGTTGGGGATATTTTCATCATTTTCATTATAAGAAATAGTGTAATGTATATTGTGTTTCTTATTTTTTATTATGTGTTGTATTTGATTTGGTTTGTGTATAGTGATTGGATATTTAAAATCTTTGAAAATTATTTTTAGTTTTTCTTTTTTTAGTTATACTTTGTTTCAATTGGATATTTAAAAGTTGCTTGCTTCATTTGGTTTCAATTGATCAATTTACTTATGGATTGAGTACTACTAACCTGTTTCGTTTGGCTTCATATTGTGTATAGTTGCTTGCTTCAATTGGTCTATTATCCTGAAATTCATTTTTAGTTTTTTCTTTTTTTAGTTATACTTTGTTTTAATTGGATATTTAAAAGTTGCTTCATTTGGTTTCAATTGGTCAATTAACTTATGGACACTACTAACCTGCTTCATTTGGCTTCATTTGCTTTGTATTGTGTATAGTTGCTTGCTTCAATTGGTCTATTATCCTAAAATTCAATAAACCAATGTAAATTCAATAAACCAAATGTAAATTCAATATCTATAAAATTTTAGTTTGTTGAGTTATTGATATTGTTTAATTGGCATGAGTTATTGATATAAAAGGTAATTCGTGAGTTAATTTGTTTTAGACTTATTGAAGTTGAGTAGGAGTTTTATTTATTAAGATTTCAAATTCATGGCTCCTTTGCGTTAATGATAGATACTAGCCTATCACTCGTGCTATGCACGGGATAATTATAAATATTTATATTTGTTTTAAATTTTTTTTAATATATAAATTATGTTTTTTAAGATTTTTTATAAAAATAATTTAACAATCTAAGGTTTAAAGAATTTTTTTTATACTTATACTTAATGTATTAAAGTGTTATTATAAGGGTAAGGCTTGGGGGTTGTGAGAAATTAATAAATGTTAAGGTTTTCTTTTTTTTAATCAAAAAATCAAGAAATTTAGATTGGGATATTGGAACTCTCACAAAACTTGTGGGTTAGAGATAGATATAAATAAATAGATAGATATAGATATAGATATTTATATTTCTTTTAAATTTTTTTTAATATACAAATTATTTGTTTTGGAAAAGGTACTGCAATAATTATGAGAGAAGTCAAAAAGCCTTGTGGGTTGAGAGAAATTAATAAATGCTGAGGTTAATTTTTTTTAAAAAAAACAAAAATTAGAAAATTAGGATTGACATATTGGAGCTTCCACAGGCCTTGGGGGTTAGAAACTCCCTTTTGCTTAATATATAGTACTAGCATATCACTCGTGCTATGCACGGATTGTGTTTACAATCTATACTTACTAGCATATCACTCGTGCTATGCACGGATTGTGTTTATAATCTATACTTACTATATATTAAGTAAAAGGGGGTTTTTAACTCCAAGTCTTGTGGGAGCTCCAATCTCCCAATCTAAATTTTCTGATTTTTTGATTTAAAAAAGAAAAAATTTTAGCATTTGTTAATTTCTCCCAACCCTCAAGTCTTACCCTCATAATAACACTTTAATGCATTAAGAACAAACATAAATTTTTTTTTGAAATTCAACACATGAATTCTTTTAAAAGTCCCAACACATATGTTTATTATTCTTCATAATAACATTTTAATGCATTAAGAACAAACATAAAAAAAATTTCTTGAAAAGTCCAGCACATATGATTATTATCAGAATATTAAACTTTAATATAATATAATAAAAAAAAGACATTTAATTTTTTAAAAAGTTCAACACATATGATTATTATCAAAATATTAAATTTTAATATAATATAAAAAAGGAAAAAAAAGAAGACATTTAAAAAAAAAGAAAGAAAGAAACTTCAACATTTATTGATTTGGTCAAAATTTCCTGGTCAGTATTTATTAACTTTTTTCAATCAACATGTCTTTTCACATGCCTGCATTTATTGATTTAGTCAAAATCTCTTGATCATCATTTAAAATCTCCTCATACAAATAATTATAGATACAACTCATGTATAGTTATTGCAGTATCCTTTTTAACTTTTCTCATACACTATGGTTAGTGATAAGATTGTTAAATTATTTTTATAAAAAAATCTAAAACAAATATAAATATCTATAATTATCTCGTGCATAGCACGAGTGATAGGTTAGTTATCTATATATGTGAATTGTGATTTTTAATTTTTTTTAAAATTTTTTTTCCCTTTTTTATATTATATTAAAGTTTAATATTTTGATAATAATCATATGTGTTGAACTTTTCAAGAAATTAAATATCTTTTTTTTATTTATATTATATTAAACTTTAATATTTTGATAATAATCATATGTGTTGGACTTTTCAAGAAATTTTTTTTTATACTTATTCTTAATGCATTAAAGTGTTATTATGATGGTAAGACTTGGGAGTTGGGAGAAGTTAATAAATGTTAAGATTTTTTTTTTAAAAATCAAAAAATTAAGAAATTTTTTTTTATACTTGTTCTTAATGCATTAAAGTGTTATTATAATGGTAAGACTTGGGAGTTGGGAGAAGTTAATAAATGTTAAGATTTTTTTTTTTAAATCAAAAAATTAAGAAATTTAGATTGAGAGATTGGAGCTCTAACAAGGCTTGAGGTTAAAAATCTCCCTTTTGCTTAATATATAGTATAGATTTGAATTTTTTTTTCCCAGTTAATTGGTTTTGAATTTCATAACTTAATTATTTGGATTTGTAGTATCATCATATTTAATCTTTGATTAAATTCATTAACAGAAGTCTTTTTATTTATATAGAATCCTCTAATTGGTTCATAATTTCATCATTATAGGTTGGTTTAACAAAAAATCCTTCAATGGCAGGATGAGTGGAGTGAGATCAACCGACGACGCTGAGTTAGGTTAAGTTTTATGGTAATTTCTTTTTTTATTTTTTTTCCCACATACGCACTATCGATCTAATTTGTTATTACATACATAAATGAGAGATTTTAATATCTAATTTGTTCATTCTATTTCATGTGATATTTGTTATTTCTTTATGATTTTGGAGTTCTCATGTAGAGGGTTGTACTAAATATAATATTTACGTGGCCAATTGGCACCTTGACAATAGGATGGTGTCACTTGCTTTTGTTGAGTTGATTTTTGGATTCTATGATTTTGTCAAAGATCATTTACTCCACTTAGTAACCTAATAGATGCCAAGTAGGTAGATTAAGTATTACTAGGGTGCACAACTAAGAGGAAATGTAGCATCACCCCGTAAATTGAGACAACTCTTCCTAAAAGTTTGTTATTGTTTTAAACTTGATCTCTAAACAGATGATAGTCTCTTTGTTCTTGGTGCTGTTTATTCTAATTTTATATTTCTATTTTGGTTTCAGGACATAGCATTGCCAATGGGTTTAGTGGCAGAGCTAATAGTAGAGGTGGGCGCGGGTCGGTGGCGGCCACGGAACCTCCAATCTGTCATCCGTCCGTCAGATTGGCGGATTGGAGAAAATCAATTCGCATTCGTCCGCTAATTCGGCCGATATGGATTGAGCGGATTGGCGGTTTGGCGGATGGATGCGAATCAGTTTGGCGGTTTAAAATTTTATAATTTTTCAACATAATTAAACTTGTGCACTTCCTCAAAAAAAGAAAGAGAAAAAAGAGAAGAAACTATTATAATTAATGACTTAAAAAAATATTACAATCACTGCATGCCTTATCCAAAGCAAGAAAGTTTGAAACTTTAGAATAAAGTTTGAAATTTTAGAATATCACAATCATTGCGTGCCTCATCCACATACTACAATCATAGCATGCATCATCTACATAAAGTATCACAATCTGTGGTTCTTAAAATATAAAAACAATTCAAATCACCAAAATCATGAACATAGTAGTAGTAGAGATTGTATGTCTCTGTATTGTTACATCTATATCTGTTTTTGAAAACAAAACCAATCAGCATATATCATATTTTCTATTTATTATTTTTAGAGATAGATTTAAAAACAAAAAAATATAGATAAATAATACGTTTATTTTTTTCAATTCAAAAAAGATATTCAAGTTGAATTTTTTTTTAACAGAATATTTAAACTTTTTTTTAATTGAAAACACAAACATAATATTTAAACAAATTGAAAACACAAAGTCCTATAAATTACTAAAGGTGTTCGCGGTTTGACGGTTCGGTTGCGGCTAAAGGAATCTCAAATTCGCCATCCGTCCCTCAGATTGGTGGATTGGAGAAAATCAATCCGCAACCGTTCACTCATCATCACACATCTGTCCAAAATGTGGCGGATTGGTTCGGTTTGGTCAGTTTTGGCGGATCGATATATCCGCTGCTCACCCTTAGCTAATAGTTTGGTTTGGCGGCAACATTAAGCAAAAACCTAAGTTTGTATTGCCAGTGGGTATAGTGGCAGAACAAGTTTTTGGCTTGCTAAAGTTTTGTCCAGTTTCACAAGCTTATTCCTCACTTAGTTCTGTAGTTATGGATTATAATTTACAAAAATCAAATATCTATCCTTGTGGTTAATTTTACACTTGATCAATTAATTGGTTTAAAGATTCCCAGTGGCAGAGAATGTATTAGGGGAATTGTGTATGTATTAATTTGCTTATTTCCTTTTCTTTCTTGGAAGCTTTCTATTTGATTCTCAACTCCAACCATTTGATTGGTGGTTTGATCGGATGAGGGTGGGTGATGATTTGGATATAATGTCTGCTTACCATCTGATTCTCACACAAATTATAATGTCTCTCTTAATGTTTATATTTGTGATTAGGTAATGGTTTTCAATTTATGTATTTAATCAATTAATAGACTGGTGTGTTTAGAAGAAGAAGGAGAATCAAATCTCTTGATCTGTTTGTTAATTGTTAATATAATAATAAAAGAGTTGTTTTCATTTGGAAATTTGACTTTATTCACCCTTGATTGTTTAATGTTAGTTCGATTTTTTATTTTTCAAGTTTTTATTTACTTCTAAGGTTTTTTTTACACAACGTGCATTGGTTTTTGTAGGGAATGTTTTAAATTACAACTTTGAACAGGGAATGTTATAAATTACAATTTTGAGCACTCATTACAGTTTTTA